TCAATCGCTTTATACAACTTGTTCGATTTTACCAAGAATTTATAACAAAAGTCTCTATCAGGAAAAAGGAAAACATCAGCTTTCTAAATTTATCTTCTCTTTTATATTGCTTCAATAACATTGGATATATTCTTTGCCCGACAAGAACGCGGGTTTCTCTTTTGTGTTCGAGGCGGTCTTCTATTTTTTTTCCTCTCGTTTTTTTTTTTTTTTTTTAAAGAAAAGATACTGTGTACAAGAAACGCTCATAAATTTAATCACTTCTAAGGGTGGACGCTCCATTTACGATGACGACGACGAAAACGATGATGCTTTGAGCCAAAACGATAATTTCATCTCTTGGAAAGGGTCACAAGTATATAGAAAAAGCCATTTCCACCGATTAGCTCTTCGCTCGTAAATCTTTAAAGCTGTATATATATATATAGATGTATGAGAAACTGTCAACGTACTTTTCTAGGATTAAAGGATATCGTCACGATACTGCGCGCACAAAAAAAATAAAAGAATTTTTTTTTTAAATCCAGAATTCATTTCGAATCTGAAATTTTGTCTTTCGAAAGGATATATACATATCCTTGTACCGGATGTGCATCATTTCTCCTATGTGTGCCGACGTGCAATAACAACACACAGATGTTGTCTCTTCGCCATAAATTTATATTACGACATTATACGATCCACATTCGTATCCATTCTCAAAACATTAAAGTGTCATAAATTCTTCATATCAACTGATGTATAACTGCGGAGGCGCGCAGTGTTAAAAAAATTTATCATCAAATACATTTCATTCTCCTAAGTATATATTATATGAATTTATATATATATATACTAGGAGGGCTCCACCCCCCTGCGAGCTTCTTACTTACTTCTTTACGTTCCTTTCACAGAAAATTAAAAGGTATTAAAATAAGCTGCAACGCTTATTATTTTAATCCAATTTTGCTTATTTTAATACCAAAACGGATTAAAATAAGCAAAATTTGATTAAAATAATAAGCGTTGCAGCTTATTTTAATGTCTTTTAACTTTCTGTGTTCTTATATTTTTCAAAAGAATTTCTAGAATTTAAAGTGATATTTATATACATTTATATAAAATATTTGGACTTTATTTTTTTTGTGTTGTGTTCGTATCATGAATTATGATATTTGACTTAATTTATGTTTGGTTGTTTAATTTATTAAATGACTTAATTTAGGTTATGTTCGCCTTTAAACCTGACATATTTGACCTCATTTTAACCTTATTTTGAGGTTATGTTTGCCTCTTGACCTGTGACCTAATTTTTAGGGTTTCGTGGCCCATGGCCGAAAGCCTTATAGTTTCACTTTGGCGTCCGTCTGTCCGTAGTATATTTTGGGGCACCACAGCTCCCAAAATCAAATTTTAGGGCACAGATCCCAAATTAAAATTTTGGGGCACCACAGATCCCAAATTCAAATTTTGGGGCCCCACAGATCCCAAATTCAAATTTTGGGGCACCATAGCTCCCAAATTCAAATTTTGGGGCCCCACAGATCCCAAATTCAAATTTTGGGGCACCATAGCTCCCAAATTCAAATTTTGGGGCCCCACAGATCCCAAATTCAAATTTTGGGGCCCCACAGATCTCAAATCTCCATTTACTGAATGGACATTTTCCCGAATGGACATTACATGTCCCATTAGTTAACATGCCCCTACAATTGACATGTCCCAATAGTTGACATGTCCATATAGTTGACATGTCCCTATAGTTGACATGTCCCAGTAGTTGACATGTCCCTATAGTTGACATGTCTCTATAGTTGACATGTCTCTATAGTTGACATGTCCAAGAGTTGACATGTCTTAATAGTGGACATTATCGAATGGACATTTTACCTAATGTTTTAGGTAAATTTATAAAATAAATTTTATTATTTATTTTTGATTTTTTTTTAATTAAAATTTAAAGCGCCACGAAACCCTAGATGTAGGCGCATTGCGCCTAGTTCTTTTCCTATTTTTGAAGTTATGTTCGCCTCTTCACCTGTGATATTTGGCCTGATTTTGAGGTTATGTTCGACTCTCGACCTCCTTAACATCATATTTTGAGGTTATGTTGATTTAACATAATTTAACATTAAATAATAATATTTTATTATTTATTTCTTTAAATGTTTTTTACGAATTTTATTAACAATAATTTTTATTATTTTCAATTTTTAAAACAAAATTTATCTAATTTTTTAAATTTTCCAGCTAAAATTTGACCTACATTAAAGGTTACGTTCGTTTTTTGGTCATTTTCCTTCAAAGTTTGACCTAAATTTTAAGGTTGTCCTTTGTCTTTTTGCGACAAATATTGGCCTAAATTTTGAGGTTATGTTTGTTTCTTGGTCGTTTCCCGACAAAATAACTTAACCTAAAAATTTAGTTCAATTTCGGCGGAAAATTCAGATCATTTTTGTCAGGAAATCTACCGCCACTTGCGGCTATATTGAAAGTCCTGAAATGAATATAACCTCATAATTTATGTCATTTTTGGCGGGAAATACGGAGAGAGATGAGGGAAGGGAGAACGACTTGCTGCTCTATTCAGAGTCTTGAAACAAACATAACCTCAGAATTTAGGTCACTTTTGGCGGGAAATACGGAGAGAGGGGAGGAGGGAGGACTTTTGACCCTATTCAGTTTTGAAACGATTATAACCTCAAAATTTATGTCATTTTTGACGGGAAATACGGAGAGAGGGTGAGGGAGCCAGGGAGGGGGAGAAGGGGGGGACTTGCGGCTATATTCATATAGACATGGGTTAGCTCACCCTTACTTAACCTCGTCTTTTTATAATATAGAAAGATAAATAATTCACCTTTATATTTAAATCCGATAATTTGGAGGAATTTTTCAACAAAAATTTGATTCAAAATTGAATCAAATGTTAGCCAATTTTTTTTTAAAGTTTCAATTTCTGATTAGAATAATTGACATTGTTAAAAGTTTAAAATGAAATGCACTTTACTCAATAAAAAAAAAATAAAATAAAAAAAAGTTTTATTCAGCTTTTAAAAGAAAAAAAAAGAAGGCAATGAAAGAGAGTGAAATTGACGTAAAACATTGTGAAAGCACTGTTTACATGAAATCGGTACCTATTTTCTGTTGAATCAGTTGATAAAACAGAACACGTCTTAGTGATCGATATCCCGACGATGTTTGTCGACGTTGGAATTTCGATATAATCCAGTACACAGAGAGAGAGAGGGAGAGAGAGAGAGAGAGAGAGAGAGAGAGAGAGAGCAGTGCGGAATAGCTGGAATACTTCCGGTCGATCGAAAAACGGAAGACAGATCGTCTATTTTCTCTACTATTTTTATTCTTCACGATTTCACATACTATACAATATTTGTTTTCATTTAAAAAAATGATAATTTCTCAAAATAAAAATGATAGAAAAATAAAATTAATTTTATCAAAGATTAAAAAATAATATATTTTAAATATTTAACATTTTTTTAATTTACTAATAAAAGAAAATAATATTCTATAATCAAATATTTCCCATTTTGTTTTATTCGTAAAAATATTGAAAATTCCTATTAAAAAAGAGGAAAAAAATCGTATGTACATATATATATATATGAAGGGTGAAATTTCCCCAATGATTTAAATTGCTGTTCAACTCAGTACAGTGGCAGCTCGTTCCCCATGATGTTGTAGGAATATATATATATATATATATATATATATATATTTATTCATACAAGAAGCCTTGCTGAATTTCAGAATTTTACGGATACGAGGACTTTTCAGGAATTTTCCCGGAAACGTGATTGTACTTTGAATTCGTAACATTCGGGAGAAAAAAATCAATTTTAATGCCAGCCTCGTGCAGAAAAATAAATAAAAAAAAAAGGGAACTCTTTCGGTGTCTATTGTTCTGATGAAAAAGTTAACATTTCAAACGAAACTTCGTGAACTGTAAAAAAATTCAATATTTACCTTAAATTTGAGCGAACAAATGAAACAAAAACCTATATATTAAATTCTAAAAGTTCTTTTTTCGATTTTTTTTCGTTAAATTTTATTACATTGCGTTTTTTTCAAAAAATAATACTTTTACTTTATTTAATAATTATTATTTGATATCAAAAAAAAAAATTCAGGGTAACAGAATAGAGACAAAAATTGATAATAGAAAAAGTTTTCCCTTTGTCAATTATGTTATACTTTTATTTTAAAATTACTTTTTATTGAATGAATATTTTTACTTAAAATTAAAAAATATTCATTCAATTAAAGACAATTTTTTTTGAGGGAAAAAAAATTTAATTGTCAAAATAATCATTTAAAACTTTTGATATTAAAATTTTTTTTATTTCTATTGGTAATAAATACATTTACCAAATACATAATATATTTATGATTTAGAATTTTTCAAACGAATCACCTAAAAAATTTTGTTTTTTGTTCTAGTATTTTTATAAATTTCTTTTGGACACAGAAGGAGTAAAAAAGAATTTAACATTGAATTTGTTAATTTTAGATGATCGATTTGAGAAATTTTGACCCATTTAATAGAACAGGGATTTAAAAGAAAATTTAAAGAACAACTTTTTTTTGCATACAACTTTGTGTTTTTCTTTCATTTTTTTTATTTATTTGCGTGAATGGTAATTTGAAAAACCGAAGGAAAATTCCCATCTTGTGGTGTATAAAAGTGTGCACTCAGTTTGAATAGAAACTGAATCCCCAAGATTTACAAAGTCGAAATGGAAGTTTGCGAGATAATTTCGCTTGGAGCGATACAAAGTTACAAACCGAGGAAAGTGTATACATATATATATTCGTATATATAGCTCACTGGCTTGGGAGTTACACAGGTCTCTAGAATTTTAGAATTGCTTGTGATACAGCACGAATCAGTTTCCCAAGTTTATATTCATAACGAATAAATTATTCAGGGATGAAAGCGCTTCGCGCAGTAATCCGTAGGCTTGTCACGTCGGCTCGCATTATCCTCATAATCGGTGAACGTGCCAACGAGAACGAAGAACGACCTTTTCTCCCTGCGCTAACATCTATATATATATATATATATATATATATATATATAAAGGATGTTCCCACTAATCTCTCACATAGTGTGCAACTTGTACACTCGTAGTTATATCAAAATTACTGAATCGAATCGGTGCCAGTTTTCAATTTTCATAAATTATCATAAGATTCTCCATTCTTAAAGTATGAATATGGTAAATCTCGAAATGCATTCGCAAATGATTGATGATCAAATTGTAAGAAAATAATAATTTAAGGAAAAGTCAGATTTTGATTGTACAAGGTTTGGTAAAAATTCTAGTGAACGAATTCAGGTAGTTGCAAACTATTTTAATTTGAAGAATAAACTAGTAGTTATCGCGTTAAAATAAAAAGACATTTTTCAGTTCAACTACAAATTTTTTATATTTTATATCCAAAAAACAAAATTTACAAATTAATTTTTGTTATTTCTCTCATGATATTTTTATAATGTTCATGCTTTCCAATATTATCATATAAAACACTTAGACTAACTCTAAGAAAGTGACCCATATCTTCACTTTTTGCTATGTGAATTTCCTTAATTTTAAATTCAGATGGTAAAAGAATAACTTTTCTCTCAGGATCAAAATCGTTGATTTTTATTTTGATATTTGCTCTAAAATAAGGATCAGTAAATTTAATTTCATACAAAATATTTCTAAATCCAAAAGCTTCTTTTGCAAGATATCTCATGGCTGATTCTTCACTTGTTGATGTTAATGTAAATTTATGAAAAACAAGTCTATTTCCCACGAATATTTCTCTATTAATAATGTCATAAGGTTTTGATTCGACAAGAAATAATGTCCCCTCAAATTCATGTCTTAAATCATCAGATTGTCTTATAGCTAATTTATATAAAGCAAGTTTCATTCGTTTTGCTTCTGGTGTATCTCCACTTATTCTTGTATAGCCTGATGTGACAAAATTTCGTAAAGCATAGTAATCTTCAAATGTTACAGAAAAACCTGCTTTCTGATCATTAAAATCTCTAATTACATTATCTATCGATGTTCCTTCCTCAATCCTACATCTATCTTTATAGGTATAAATCAAATTAATTCTCCTTCTTCCAACTGGAATTGGTAAATCTATTTTGTCTAAAACTAATTCGTATCTGAGTTTATTTAAAAGATCAGGATTTTCTATTTTACAGCTTCTGCTCCAATCAGATTCTTCAAATTTGTCAAATCTTTTGTAGTATATCCATTTACTGACAAAGATAAATAAAAATGTACTATCATCTGGAAAAATGTACTTTTTTAATTGATTACGTATTTCTCTCTCAGATGCACTATGTTGTTCATCAATAATTACATTATTTTTTAATAATTGTACCGCTCTCTCTTTCATGAGTAAATGTTTAATGAAAAGCAAATATCTTGGACAATCCTTAGAAAGATTTGTTATTTCTAAATACTCATTATGCGCACATTTTTCATTAACCTGATTAATCTCTATACCATTAAATCGACGTCTTGCATCCTTTCTCGTAAGTTGATTATTAATTTCATATAAAATATAATTTGGTTCTACTTCAAAACTCACGTTATTTAATTTGGTATATTTTTTTCTATTTTCTGGAAAATCAAAAACAAGTGTAACAAATATTTTTTCTTTCAAATCAAAATCAGTTCTCAATGATGTAGACACTGAGTCATAAATATTTATAAACTTGTATCCAAATCCAGTCTTACGATTCAGAGCGTTTACAAATAAATTTCGACTTCTATTTTCACCAACGCGACCAATGTCATTGACAATGCTGCATTTCAATAATACTATATTAGAAATCATATAATTGACAGATATAAAATTGTAATTAATTTTTTTTCGCAAATTATGGACAATTATTGTTAATAAATCAATACTTTCTTGATTTATAGAAATTGTCACAAATTTAGGCTCTTCTAAGTGTAAAGAAACTTGTTCATAAAATTTTATAATATTTAATTCATGCTCTATTGAAAGTTCAGATGAATTATTTGATACTGTTAATCCATTCACAATTTCTAAAATCACATCCTTTATAAATATTGTTTTAATAGTTGTACCGAAGAAAGAAAGAAGAGACTGAGTATTAAAATCTGTTAAATGTGAAGATATATCATCGGAAAAATTATTTAAAAATTTTACATTCTCTTTTTCACACAAGTTTTCCTCATCATTATAATAGTTGGCAATTTTTGATAAACAAGGATAAAATGGCACCAAAGACAATCCAAATTCCTTCCACCATTTATTATTTTTTAAACTGTAGTTAAAAAGAGTCAAATATGTCTTGAATCGTTCTTTCTTGTATTTCATTAATTCTTCATAAAATTTATTTGCTTCTTCATCAGCAAACTTTAAAATAATACTCTTTCCAAATCGTATTATATCCTCTAAAGATGGTCCAATTAGTTGCTGAAACAATTCTGGATCATCTGCCTCTTTGATAAGCGTAACAGTATAGTTCTTTCGAATTAAAGCATAGTATTCTGAAGTTTTATTATAAGTGTAGTAAAATTGAAGCAAATCATAGGATAAATATTGCAAATTATTAAAATCATTATTTACCAGTTCAGTATTAGTAACAATCAATTTTATTGTAACATTATGAAAATCATCTATTAACGATTCATTGAAACATTGTTTTGTTATTCCTAAATCATAATTCCCATAAATTTCGCCTAAAGTAAAAACTTGATCATTATATAAATCATTTATGTAGTCTTGATTAAATTCAGTTTGGCATTTTATTCGATTGATACGCTGAACAGAAGAAGAAATTTTTATCTCCTCTTGCTTACTTAAAGAACTGCAATTTGAATTTTTAACTGATTTAGCTATAACAGCACGACTTTGAAAATTAGAAAATCCTAAATGAATATTATATGTATAGTCATTCATTAATTGAATTTCTATTTGTTCAAAAGCATCGGCTACATAATTATTAAAATTGAAAAAAGCTTTCTCCCAATGATGTGGATTAAACATTATATTTCTTATAACTTCATTTTTCAATTTATCTTCAGTAGTTGTGTAATATAAAAGAGCTGGTAGAGCAAAAACTCTTAAAGATAGAGAATCTATTTTCTTCTCCTGAAGTAAATTCCATATAACGTTTCCAATTATTAAATATTCATCGAACAAGTTTTCATGCGAGTATCTAAATTTTTTGCTTTCATCATTAGAATAATAGGAATTATTTATTGTTCCAAGTCGAAAATATGTTGAACCAGCTTGTGCAAAAATATAATCAAGAGACAATACACTGAGATTAATCTTTGGTTTAGGAAACATTGGTAAAATTATATCTTTATATATTCTATTAACGGCTAATTCAGTTAGAACCGAATTGGGTCCATATTCATTGTCAAATGTCGCATTTTTAAGTTTTTCTTTAACTATTTTTAAAATATAATCTAATTGTAAATTTTCTACCTTACGAACGGTATCAGCCAAAAATCCATAAATATTTCCATATTTGTCAAATACAAGAGAACTAATGATGTAATCAAACATTGTATTAACGAAAATTTCATCTACATTCTCATTATCTTCTTCTCCGTATAAATCACTGCCTTGTAATAAATATCTAATTAATTTCAATTGCATAGTTTTATTATGGTGATTTTCTTCGAAATACTCGTAAAGTGCATTAATAATTGGTATTTGTTTATATTGATTATATAATTCCAATTTATGTTCAATAAACAAAAAATCACTAAGTAAGTTAATGTAATTGAAGATTGGTATAAGGTGTACAATTGCTATTGGACTTGTTAAAATGAATGTATCCATTTTTGAAAATTTTCCATTTACTCTAATAATTTATATTATTGAATTCTATTGATTATTGAATTTTTATATTAATTTTGGATAATCTGTGGATAATTAATTTGATTTACGTTAATAAAGAAAAATATTTTGAATATTAGGTACAATTATTTTATACATAAAATAAAAGTTAAAGAAGATTTTCATACCTAATGTTGTTGAGAATGAAACACAGTAACTGTCAATAATAAAATTTATATATTTAACTTTGTTTCGAAGACAAATTTTTAAGTATGATATTAAATAGAAGTTTAAGCTGTGTCAGAAAAATAAAACTTATCTGTTTTTATTTGAGTTTTTCATATACTATTGATACAAGTGGCTAAAATTGTAACATAATATAACGCGTGCACACGTGCATGAACTCTACTTATAAATTCTATTAGAAATTAAGAACTTTGTTAAATAAGTTAAAAAAATTTTTTATCAATTTTAATAATTACAAAAATTTACAACAATGAATAAAATACAATTTTTCGGCAAATTTAAAAACTTTTGAAAATTATGAAGAATACAAAGTAACACATTTTGCACACAATGCTCAAGGAATTTTCTTGTTACGCTCTTTTCATAAAATTACTAGAGACGAATAGAATAGATAATCTTATTGTTAATACAGAACCAATAAATTAATTTTTGTTGTTAGTTGTTACATAAATGTGTTTTTATAATTTAAAAAAAATTTGTTTGGAGAATAAAAAATGTATTGAAAACAAAACTAGTTTTTAATAATATTTAAACAAAAAAATTTATTTTCAAAGATAAAAATTTACAAATTAATTTTTGATATTTCTCGCATCACATCTTTATACCAATCATACTTTTTATTACTTTTAGGATTAAAATATAACACTACTTTCATAACATTACCGATTCCTCCCATTACTATTGTTCCATTCTGCACAATTTCAAATTCACAACCAGGTAAAAGGATTATATTTTTTTCAATTACAGGTTCAAACCGATCGACTTTTGTTTCAATAGTTGCTCTAATGTAAGGCTCATCAAATTTCATTTCATATAAAATATTTCTAAATCCGTTTGGTGCATATGCAACAAATCTCGTAGCAGCTGTTTCAGTTGTTGATGTCATTGAAAATTTTTGGAATACAACTTTCTTTCCCACATATAATTGATAATTAATAGTGTCTAATGGTACTGATTCGACAAAAAATAATGTCCCCTCAAATTCATGCCTTAAATCATCAGATTGTCTTATAGCTAATCTATATAAAGCAAGTTTCATTCGTTTCGCTTCTGGTGTATCTCCAATTATTCTTGTATAGCCTGATGTGACAAAATTTTGTATAGCATAGTAATCTTCAAATGTTACCGAAAAACCTGCTTTCTTATTATTAAAATCTCTAATCATATTCTCTATTGATGCTCCATTTTCAATCTTACGTCTCTCTCTGTACGTATAAATGGAATTGATTCTCTTGTTCCCCTCAGGGATTGTTAAATTTTTCGTTTCTAAAACTAAATCGTACCGCAATTCATCTAAAATTTCTACATTTTCTATTATGCAGCTGCTGCTCCAATCAGATTCTTCAAATTTCTTATTCTCTATCCACTTTGTGACAAAATAAAGTAAAAATATATTGTCATCTGGAAATGTATATTTTTTTAATTGATTACGTATTTCTTGCTCAGATGCAATATGTTCTCCATCGATAATGACTTTATTTTTTAATAATTCTACTGCTCCTTCTTTTTGATTAAGTTGTTTAACAAAACGCCAATGTCTTAAGCATTTATCAGAATGTTTCGTTTGCTCTAAATATATATCATCAAGACATTTTTCATCATCATGATAACTCTTTATTCCATTAAAACGAAGTCTTGTTGTCTTTCTACGAAGTTGATTATTTATTTCATATATAAAATAATTAGGTTCGTATTCAAATGTCATATTATTTAATTTAATATACTTTTTCCTACTTTCGGGAAAATCTAGAACAAGTGTAACAAACATTTTCTCTTTTAATTCATAATCAGTTCTTAATAATGCAATTGCTCTGTTATAATTTTTTATAAATTTGTAGCCAAAACCATTATGAGGATAAAGAGAGTTTACAAACAATTTTCTACTTTTCTTAATACCAACGGCACCAATTTCTCTCATAAAGCTGTATTTTAAAACTTCCATTTTATTTAGAGTATAATTGACGGATGTAAAATTAAAATTAATCTTCTCTGTTAAATTAGAGAGAATTTTTGATACTAATTTAATACCATCTTTAGTTATAGAAATTGTCTCAAATTTAGGCTCTTCTATGTGAAGAGAAACTTGTTTATAAAATGACTGAATATCTAAATTTAATTGAGTCAAAATTTCCGATGAATTATATAACGCTGAAATTGAATTTATCGTTTCAATAAGAAATACTGTTTTGATAGTTGTACCAAAAGAAGAAAGAAGTGATTGTGTATTTAGATCTGTTATATATAATAATATATCTTCAGTAAAATTATTTAAAAATTTTAAATTCTCTTTTTCACACAAAGTTTCTTTGTTAGTATCATAGCTGATAATTTTTGTTAAACAAGGATAAGATGGCACTAAAGACAATCCAAATTCCTTCCACCATTTACCATTTTTTAAATTATAGTTTGAAAAACTAAAGAAAGAATTAAATCGTTCTTTCTTGTAATGTATTAAATTTTCAAAAAGTTTATTTTCTTCGTCATCATTTAATTTTAAAATAATTCGCTGTCCAAATCTTATTAAATCATTGAGAAATGGTTCACATTGTATTTGAAAAAGTACTGGATCATCAGTCTCTTTGATAAGTGTAACAGTGTAACTTTTTCGTACTAATGCATAATAATCAATAGTTTTGTTATTAGAGTAATAAAATTCAAGCAAATCGTACGACAAATACAGGAAATTATTAAAATCGTTATTTACTAATTCATTATTATTAACTACTAAATTTATTGTAACACCATGAAGATCACGAATTAAAGATTTCTTAAAACATTGCTTTATAATTTCTAAATCATAATTACCGTACATATCAGCTAGAGTATTAATTTGATTTTTATACAAAATATTTAAATTGGGTAAAACAACTTCATGACTACATTCAAAATATTCCGCAAAACGAATATAAGTAATAAATTCTTTCTCCCTTTGTTCTTTACTCAGAAAATTGCATTGTGAATCAATCAACGATTTTGCAATTACAGCGCGATTTTGAAAACTTAAAAATCGTAAGTGCATTTGATATTTATAATCATTCTTCAATTGATTTTCTATTTGAGTGTAAGCATTGTCCATATATTCGAGAAATTTATGATAAGCTGCCTCCCAATGATGATAATTGAAAATTACATTTGTTATGATTTCATTTTTCACTTTAATTTCAGTAGTTACATAATATAAAAGAGCTGGTAGAGCGAAAACTCTTAAAGTTAGAACATCTATTTTTTTTAAATTAATTAAGTTCCTTACTATGTGTCCAACTATTAAGTATTCATCAAAAAAAATTTCATGAGAGTATTTAAAATTATTATTTTGAAAATCAGAATAATAGGTATTTTTTATTCTTCCAAGTCGAAGATACGTTGAACCAGCTTGTGCAAAAATATAATCAAGAGACAATATACTGAGATTAGTCTTTGGTTTAGGAAAGATTGGCAAAATTATATCTTTATATATTCTATTAACGGCTAATTTAGTTAGAATCGAGTTAGATCCATATTCATTGTCGAATGTTGCATTTTTCAGTGTTTCTTTAATTACGTTTAAAAAATTATCGAATTGTAAATTTTCTACTTTGCGAATTGTATCAGCCAAAAATCCATAAATATTTCCATATTTGTCAAATACAAGAGAACTAATGATATATTCAAACATGGTATTAACGAAAATTTCATCTACATTCTCATTATCTTCTTCTCCGTATAAATCACTGCCTTGTAATAAATATCTAATTAATTTCAATTGCATAGTTAAATTATTTTGATTCTCTTCGAAATAGTCGTAAAGTGCATTAACAATTGGTATTTGTTTCTTTCGATTAACTTCTGCCAAATAGTTTTCGGTGAATAAATAATCACTAAGTAGGTTCAAATAATTAATGACAGGTATAAGCTGTACTGTTGCTAGTGGACTTACGGATATTAATGAATCCATTTTTTTTATTTTTCATCTACTCTTATAATTTATATTGAAAATAGTTAAAATGCATTAGTTATTCAATTTTCTTTTTGAGTTTGACTAATCTGTGAACAATGAAATTAATTATAATATAATTGATTATAAATTACAATTATAAATATAATGGCTAAATAAGATTTTCATACCTAATGTTGTAAATCACCGTAAGTGACAAAAATAAAATTCTTATACTCTGCATACGTATTCTTGCATAATTATGTTTCCAAAACTAAATTTCAAGTATGATATTTAATTAGTTACACTTGTGTTATTATAGTTTCATTTTTCTGTATTTATAAAAGTCACTCTTATCAATATCATTAATATTATCAATATTCGTACTAATATTGACTGATTTTTTTACAGTTGTATCAACAAGTTTAAGAAGTTATAACACTACAATATTATTATAAATGTTAAAAACTTCGAAAAATTGTCTAAATTGTATTAGAAATTTTTTTTTAGAAAAAACATGAGGGCGCATGACTATCTTATAAAATCATTAAAAATGCTTTTCATTTTTATGAATTTTTTAGGTACTGAATACTATTTTTCTTTATATACGGTCGAAAGTACGCACAATAATTCACTAATTATGAATATTTTAATTGCGTATTCCGTTTGACAGCCGGCCATCTTTTACTTTTGCTCCTCGCTTCAACGCCTCTAACGGACACTCTGGAAGCTCTGACTTTTTCTCTGACTCTCTCTTATTTAGTTGAGTCTCTTTTTTCGATGCCTGCCCCGATATTTGCTGCACGAGCGAACCGAGTGCTGCTGGTCGGGGTCATGCATCGAAAAACGCAAAGAAAATACAAATGTAACTACAATTTTTACATCTAAATGTATATTCAATTCCATATTCAAATTTTCCAGGATATTTTATTTACTTTTATAACATGCACTGACACATACAAACGACTGTAAGAGAGAGAGAGAGAGAGAGAGAGAGAGAGAGAGAGAGAGAGAGAGAGAGAGAGAGAGAGAGAGAGAGAGAGAGAGAGAGAGAGAGAGAGAGAGAGAGAGAGAGAGAGAGAGAGAGAGAGAGAGAGAGAGAGAGAGAGAGAGAGAGAGAGAGAGAGAGAGAGAGAGAGATCAGCTGACAGCCGTTGAACTCAGTTCTGTTGGGTTAAAATCGCGATGAGTTACCGACCGAGCCATTTACAAAAGTAGTTTTGCTTCCGATGTAATAGATGGCGCCCGTGTGCATCAAGAACATTTGTGCATTGCTATAGCAATGCAAAAATGTTTGACTTTCTGCTGGGAAGTCGATGCGGGAGATACATGCTTTCGACCGAGGTATGAAGAAAAAATTTTCTCTTTGTACACCTTATTTAAAAAAAAGTATTCTCATTTAACAGAATTTTGATTTAACATACACTGGAACCTCCAACCATTGCATCTTTGACCATTGCAGTTGTTTACAAAAACTTGGTGGGCAGCGGCAAGAAGAGTTAGAGAGGAAAAAATGTCGTCAGTCAAGAAAAAGCAGTAACGTCACAGTTACGTGTTCTTTTAGACCCAGTTTCTTTTTCTTTTTTTCTATTTTAAACAATCGATCGGAGTTATCGATATTATAAACTGCATTATTATAATTTAAATGTACGTAATTATATTTATATTTTTCTACTTTATGAAGAATTAAATTAATCTCAATTTTTATTCGCACATATATCCCATACATAAGTATATAATATGTACGGCCCTGAGTGTTTCCACTTTTTGACATAACCTTGACGTCAAGGGTAACCTCCATCCGTTGCACATAAGACTTGCGCGTTACAATGGTTGGAGGTTCCAGTGTAATTCTCATTCAACAGAATTTTAAATAATTTGAATTTTTAAATATCAGAATTTTCAATTCACCAAATCTTAATTTGTCCAAATTAAATTAAATTGCAAATGAACAATTAACAGAAAGATTTTCGCGCGATTGTTAAAATTTACGAATCATAATTTTCTTGATAATTTCTTATTGGTAAAGTGTAAAAAAACAAGAATTAAGTAAATTATATGTTTACAAGCTGTGCAACATAACTAACAATTTTAAATTTCTGTAACTTTGGTAAAAAAATTTTTTTTGTCCCGCAAATAATATGAACTCTTCAAAGCAGCCGTGCCCAACATGACGTAATTTTTTTTTACAATTATGAATTTTAATGACGTGTTAAATAAAAGAAAGAATTCTTGTAGGTATAATTACCCCAATACATGGTATCCTGGTGTTTTTATTTATTTGTATAAATTTTAATATGTTTAAGATTTTATTATAACATTAATAAAAATCTATCTTATAAAAATATATTTATGCATGTAAATAACAAAAAACTAATTTCATATAACAATTATTATTCACAAATTTATTTTTGCTATTTCTCTCATGATATGTTTATAACGTTCATGCTTTCCAATATTATCATGTTTAAAATTAAGCAATACTTTTAATACAGGACCAATTTCTTCCATTCTCTGTATTGTTATTTTCTTAATGACAAATTCACTACCAGGTAAAAGAATTACTTTTTTTTTCATTATCAAACGTAAACTGATCGACTTTTGTTTCAATTATTGCTCTAAAGTAAGGATCAGTAAATTTTATTTCATACAAAATATTTCTGAATCCGTTTGCTGCAAATCTCGTTACAGATGCTTTACTTGTTGATGTTAATGTAAATTTTTGAAAAATAACACAATTTCCCACAAAAATTTCTTTATTAACAATATCAATGGGTTTTGATTCCACTCGGAATAAAGTCCATTGAAATTCCTCTCTTAAATCATCAGATTGTCTTATAGCTAATCTATATAAAGCAAGTTTCATTCGTTTTGCTTCTGGTGTATCTCCAGTTATTCTTCTATAGCCTGATGTGACAAAATTTCGTAAAGCATAATAATCTTCAAATGTAACCGAAAAACCTGCTCTCTGATTATTGAAATCTTTAATTATATTCTCAATCGATACACCTTCTTCAATCTTACGTCTCTCTCTGTACGTATAAATGGAATTGATTCTACTTTCACCATCTAGAAGTGTTACATTATTATTTTCTAAAAGTAAATTGTACTTCAATTTATTCAAAATATCAGGATTGTCAATTATACAGCTTTTACTCCAGTCAGATTCTTCAAATTTTTTGTTATGTAACCACTTTACGACAAAGTAATATAAAAATATACCATTATCTGGAAATATATACTGCTTTAATTTATTACGTATTTCTTGCTCCGATGCAATATGTTCACCATCAATAATTACTTTATTTTTTAGTAATTTTATTGCCCTTTCTTTTTGAGCAAGTTGTTTAACATAACGCCAATGTCTTAAGCATTCATTAGAATGTTTCGTTTGCTCTAAATATTTCTCATTTGCACAGTTTTCATTATCATAACTACATAATCCAAAGAATGAAATATTTGTATCCTTTCTTGTAAGTTGATTATTAATTTCATATAAAAAATAATTTGGTTCTACTTCAAAACTCACGTTATTTAATTTGATATATGTTTTTCTATTTACTGGAAAATCAACAACAAGTGTAACAAATATTTTTTCTTTGAAATCAAAATCAGTTCTCAATGATGTAGACACTGAGTCAAAGATATTTATAAATTTGTATCCAAATCCAGTATTACGATTCAGAGCGTTTACAAATAAATTTCGACTTCTATTTTCACCAACGCGACCAATGTCATTGACAATGCTGCATTTCAATAATACTATATGAGAAATCATATAATTGACAGACATAAAATTGTAATTAATTTTTTTTCGCAAATTATGAACAATTATTGTTAATAAATCAATCCCTTCTTGATTTATGGAAATTGTCTCAAATTTAGGCTCTTCTAAGTGTAAAGAAACTTGTTTAGAAAATTCTATAATATCTATTTCATGCTGTGTTGAAAATTCAGATTCTAATAATCCATTTATACTTTCTAAAATCACATCCTTTATAAATATTGTTTTAATAGTTGTACCGAAGAAAGAAAGAAGAGACTGAGTATTAAAATCTATTAGATGTGAAGATATGTCATCGTAAAAATTATTTAAAAATTTTATATTCTCTTTTTCACACAAGTTTTTCTCGTCATTATGATAGGTGGCAATTTTTGATAAACAAGGATAAAATGGCACCAAAGACAATCCAAATTCCTTCCACCATTTATTATTTTTTAAACTGTAGTTAAAAAGAGTCAAATATGTCTTGAATCGTTCTTTCTTGTATTTCATTAATTCTTCATAAAATTCATTTGTTCCTTCATCAGCAAACTTTATAATAATTCTCTTTCCAGATCGTATTATATCCTCTAAAGATGGTCCAATTAGTTGCTGAAATATTTTTGGATCATCTGCCTCTTTAATAAGCGTAACAGTATAGTCCTTTCGAATTAAAGCATAGTATTCTGAAGTTTTATTGTTAGTGTAGTAAAATTGAAGCAAGTCATAGGATAAATATTGCAAATTATTAAAATCATTATTTACCAGTTTAGTATCGGTAACTACCAATTTTATTGTTACATTATGAAGATTATCTATTAATGATGATCTATTGAAACATTGCTTTGTTATTTCTAAATCATAATTCCCATAAATTTCGCCTAAAGTATGAACTTGATCACTATACGAATCATTTATATTGGGTAAAACAATTCCAGGATGACATTTAAAATTTTCAACAAAATGGACGTACGAAATAAATTCTATTTCTCTTTGTTTCTCACTCAAAAAAGTGCATTTTAAGTCAATAAAAAATTTTGCAATTGCAGCTCGATTTTGAAAATTTGAAAATCGTATGTGCATTTGATATTTATAGTCTTTCTCTAATTGAATTTCTATTTTATTGTAAACATTGTCTAAATATTGGAAAAATTTATAATAAGCCGTCTCCCAGTGATAAGGATTGAAAATTACATTTGTTATGATTTTATTTTTTACTTTATCTTCAGTAGTGCTATAATATAAAAGAGCTGGTAGAGCAAAAACTCTTAAAACTAAAATATCTATTTTCTTATAGTGAAGTAAGTTCCTTATTATGTGTCCCGTTATTAAATATTCGTCAAATAAGTTTTCATTAAAGTATTTAATATTATTATTGTTCTCGAAATCAGAATAATAGGTATCGTTTATACTTCCAAGACGAAGATAAGTTGAACCAGCTTGTGCAAAAATATAATCAAGAGACAATATACTAAGATTAGTCTTTGGTTTAGGAAAGATTGGTAAAATTATATCTGTATATATTCTATTCACTGCTAATTCAGTTAGAACCGAATTAGGTCCATATTCATTGTCGAATGTCGCTTTTTTAAGTGTTTCTTTAATCACCTTTAAAACATAATCTAATTGTAAATTTTCTACCTTACGAACGGTATCAGCCAAAAATCCATGAATATTTCCATATTTGTCAAATACAAGAGAACTAATGATGTAATCAAACATTGTATTAACGAAAATTTTATCAAAATTTTCATTATCTTCTTCTCCGTATAAATCGCTGCCTTGTAATAAATATCGAATTAATTTCAGTTGCATAGTTTTATTATTGTGATTTTCTTCGAAATAGTCGTAAAGTGCATTAATAATTGGTATTTGTTTATTTTGATTATGTGATTCCAATTTTTGTTCAATGAATAAAAAATCACTAAGTAGGTTCATATAATTGATGACTGGTATAAGTGGTACTGTTGCTAATGGATTTTTCAAAATAAATGAATCCATTTTTAAGTATATACTTTTAATAATTTTAAAATTGAAATATTTTTAAATGGTTATTCAATTTTTATTTTAATTGTCACCAATCTGTGGATGTAAATATAAATTTTGGTTAATTAAAAGATTTTAATAATTATAAACACTGATCATTATTGTAAATACGAGAGGCATAAATGAGCTCTAAAATTAATTTGTTAGAATTTTCATTCGACATACTATTATTACTTTGAATTAATTTTTAGTCGAATTTTTATTTCCTTTAATAATATAATATTACAGAATTTGTCAATTTTTATTTTACAAACTTTTTATTTTATCGACTTTGAATTTGGTACAATTATTATTTACTTGATATATTTCATTGGACAAAATAGTCATTTAGAAGAATGTTTATTATACAGAACTTTCATTTGTACGAATAAATATCTGACAGAAATGTTTTTGCGCTAATTTTAAAATTAATAAATTAGAATCTGTTAACAATATTATGATTAGTTAATTTTAAAACTAGCGCCCTATTTTTTTGCCAGATATTTATTCGAATAAATGAAAGTTGTGTAAAATAAAAATTTAACGTTTTAAGAATTCTGTGAAATGAAAATTCGCTTAATTAACAAATTTAAATAAATAAGTTTTTTTATACCTGATATTCAGAATAAAACACAATAAGTGCGTCTAGTGAGTCAAGTGTAGTAGTTAAATATTGAACTTGTTCCATAGACAAAATGTCAGGTACGGTATTTAATATAATTTATTGCTGTATTATAAAAGTGTCCTTGTGCGGTATTAACAGAATTTATGGAAATTTTTCTTATCAATATTATTATAAGATAAATATTGATATAAGTGAAAGAAAACTAACATAACTATTAAGAAATATTAATATACGCGTGTAAGAACTGGCGTGTTATATTGTATCAGAAATTTAGAACTGATAAATAATTTATATTTTGTACATTTAAATTTAATATTGAAATACAAGTCGAATTCTCTTTTTCTAAAACAACAACTGTGTTTTTTTTTATAAAATGGTATAAAAATAGTATATTTCGTAACAAGTGTGAATATTTGCAGATTTTTGAAAAAGTGTTTTTTTTAGCACCGCGTTATGAAAAATATTTGATTAACTTTTTATTTATATTACCTATATAACTAAAAGATAGTCGAATAATTTTTAGCAGCTTATTTTTTTTTTAATTTACAAAATTTAAAAATTATAATCAATTAGGTTTTAAACCTAAAATAATGTATTCATAAAGGGAATATGAACATGAATATAAATTGTGAGGTATTATTGGTAGAAATCATTCAAAAAAATGTTTAGAAATAAATTAAAGGCTTTAAAAAGTTTTTTAAATAAATGTAGCAATATAGTTAAAAAAACAAAATAAATTTGAAGTTCTGAAGTGAAATTAGATCGTTGATTAATGCATGAAAAGGAGCTTATTAAACTCTTGGATAAACGTCTTTGACTAATTACTGATTCTTAGCTCTCAAAAGAGATGGTTGCAAATTGAGATCTAGAATATCGTATACAGCTATTTGAAAACTTCTATCTTGCTATATAATATGCACTATCCTGTTTCTGAGTGCTCTTTAAAGTTTAAATAAATTATACAAGTAAAATTATTGTGGAAAATATACTTTTTATATGTCGTACACTCAAGAAAATCCAGTCATTGTGGCTGTAAAATATTTCAATTTGTTTAATTTTTTTCTCATTTCATATTTTTTAAATAATAAAATATAAAATAACGAATACAACTTGCCAAAGTCGTTAGAATCAATAGACAATTTTATATAAAATAAATATCGGTCCTGATTAGTCCTTTTGGTTTGTTATGAAAAATTCTTGCGAGGCATTAAGAATTCGTATAGACGGAACGACGTTCAGGATATCACAATGAATCTTGAAAGTTGGCTTTGATCGTCAATTAATGCAACGTCAGATAGTTCCGGAATCTACGTTACCAACGATTGCGTATCGTTATCGATCGCAGATGTATTAAATTGAATTTTAATTATAAATTATAAATTCCAAAAATTTAATAAAATGTGAATCTTGTATTTTTTCATTCAACTTCCTTTTAATCAGTTGGTAATGTAGATTTCTATGTTGGTAATTTTTTATATCGTCATTTTCATGTTTTACCAGCAGTCGGTAATGTAGATTTCTATGTAGGTAATTTTTTTATATCATCATTTTCTTGTTTTACCATCAGTCGGTAATGTAGATTTCTATGTCGATCAGAGAGAATTAACAATATATTAAAAGTATTTGGTGAGACAGGTTGGTGACCATTTAAATTTAAAATATTTTTATTATCATTTGTAATCAGAGAAAAATTAAAAATTTCATAAATTATAATATTCATGAGACGTACCACAGATATTCGTGTACATACTAAGGATATTTTAGAGTTAATCTGATTTTCAAAAGTGAATCAAAAACATATGTGGTCCCCCATGTTTAATATTATTTTGGGCAGAGGGGATGTCTTTTTGAAAAAAAAATATATATATATATATATGAAATGTTCAATAAATGGAAACGATAAAAAATGAGCCATTTTCATGAGATGAAATTCTCGTTAACTTTTTGTGTGTGTGCCTTGAACAATCAACGTTTCGAGAATCTTGAGAATTCTGAAGACGTTGACGGATCTTTCGGATGTCTTGAAGGACTTCGCTAATTGCAGAAAGTATAGCAAAAGGGGGATGCTGAATGTCAGAGGGGATGAGGTCCAGAACCGCTTTAATCTCAGCAACGAGTTTAACGATGGCTGGCCGGGTTGTCCGCCGTATTTCATGAAATGATATTTTCAAATTTAAAGCGTTGCCAAGTATGGCGAGAAGGTAGATGAACTTTCCTTAATAAGTCTGAGGCGTCGCTTCTCTCTCTCTCTCTCTCTCTCTCTCTGTCCATGTACATTGATCGCTTACTACAGAGACACGTTAATAGAATATTTTAATGACTAAGTAAACCTTTAATTAGTACTTTGTTGTTTAAACGATTCTATCTGAAATTTACTCAATCAGTCGTCTTCAATTTTACTTAATTTCATCTTTTCTAATTTAATCTTACAGTAGTGTTAATTTATAATATATATTCGATATTATAAGTACATTTACAAATAAATACATAATTAATAAAAAAAAAAATTATGACGATTTTTTAAGTTAATGAATCTTTTTTTATTTAATTATACTTTTTTTATTTTAACTTTACTCCTTAGTTCAAAAAGGGGTCATTTTAATCCTTAGTGTTGGAAATGATCATTTTATTCTGTAGGATTGAAGAACACTATACTTCCTAGTTCAGAAAAGGGTCATTTTAATCCCAAGAATTGAAAATGAGAATTTTATTCTGTAGGCTCAAAAAAGGACATTTTACTCCCCAGTTCAAAAAAGAGACTTATTTTACGTGACAATGTTTATTTTTTTTTTGAGAATTCTATTATAATTTTTTCAAAATAAATATTGCAAGTTATGACAACACGCGTAACAAACAAAAAAATACTGACTGAAATTACAAATCAATTGCATATTTTATAATTTTAATACTGTATGCATATTTTGGTAACTTTGCGATTTACGTATATGAATTCTCAATGTACTTTATGAATATTTAAATATTTTACACACGTTATTAATTTACTTTGAAAGGTCATTGCTACATACGTAAAAAAAAATTAAACTTGATAAAATACTGAAGACAATAATTTTTGTGTTCAGTGGGTTAATTTTTAAAATTTTTTATTTTTGTTTTCTTACTATAGTGGAACTATTTTTTCAATGACAATAGGGATTATTTTTGCGTAAACGTTAATGCGAATATCCCCACTTGGAAAGATTCCCCGGAAAAGTGCCCCCTGGAGGTTCTATCAGAATTCCGCCGGAACTTCCAACGTAATTCCGTCGGAATTCCATCGGAGTTCCAAAGAATTTCCGATGGGATTCCGACGGAATTAGGACTGTAAAAATTTTGAAAAAAATTAATTAGAATTCCGTCGGAATCCCATTGGAAATTCTTTAGAACTCCGATGGAATTCCGACGGAAGTAAGTTGGAAGTTCCGGCGGAATTCTGATAGAACCTCCAGGGGGCACTTTTCCGTGGAATCTTTCCAAGTGGATCGTTCGGATGAGAAAAAAACAAACTAAAATTGTCCCTCTTTATGCAAACGGATTAAAAATAGAACAAAATTTTATTTCTTTTAAAGTTGTAGAGAAATTCAATTTTTCTTCGAAAAACTCTTTGTTTTGAAAAACAAATTTCATTTAGAATAAAACAAATTTGAAATATATTCAGCTTATTAGACTATAGAGCAATTCCACGTGAATTGATGAAAAAACATAAAAGTCTATAAATGAATAAAAAGTGAAAAAGATAAAAGAAAAATTAATATAAAAGTGTACAATAAAAGCCAACAAACCGTTTTTTATTTTATTTTTTTAAATTTTCTCCAATTTAATATTTGGGTCATTTAAAAAAAATGGATGGAACGTTTTCTCTTGTTCAATATTGAGATAAATTTTTTTATTTAATTACTTTAAATTACTTGAAAAAAAATTACTTGTTCTTCAAAAATAATACAATTAATTTTGATGTAGATATTGGTTCGATGCTCGGAACGTTAACTCCCAATATTGAACCAAGCTCGGCACGAGTAAAATTTCTCACTGGGATATTTTTAAAAAATTTTAAATTATTTCTTATTTTAAGAATATTTTACATTTTTACCTAAGAATAACGTGCAGGGAAAATGTTTCTTATAAATTGGCGCTAAGAAAATATTCTTAAATTTAGAATTACACACGAAAAAAAATATTTATTTGGAACAACGATATGTTTCTCTAGAATAGCTAAAACTTTCGTTGCTTTAGTGAAATATATCTCTGTTCCAGTGAAATTTATCGCTGTTTCCGGTGAAGATTTTTTTCCGTGTATTTTTTTCGTGTGGATACTAATTTTTTTTCGAGTCCTACCAGTTTGATTGAAATTTCATTTAAAAGTACTGCAACGAAACTTTTCTATTCTTGCACTGAAAAAAATGTTTAGGTCAGAGGAACCAAAATTTGATTGGGCCAACAAAAAATTTTTGTTGACACTTAAGCAACCAAACTATTATTGTTTGAATCACCAAAAAAATTTGTTACGTCAACAAAAATGTTGGGGAGCTCTGACCACTGGACTACCCATCTTTGTGAGAGATTTAAACTAATTGTTTTCTTAAGGTACGAGCTGAAAGTGAATTAAATTATTTGGTTGTCGTAACCAAATTTTGGTTAGGACAACAAAACAATCATTTGGTTCTTAGACCAAACTATTTTGTTTTGTTAACCAAATTATTTTGTTGTGGTAACCAAATTTTGGTTGGAATTTAAAAGTGTTCAACCAAATAATTTTGTTGGCCTATCTAAATGTTTGGTTGAGATAACTCTACGACTTTGTTGCAACACAAAATCTTTTTTTCAGTGTGATATGAAGTAATAAACAATATAATTAACGACAATGCTACATATATATATATATATATATATATAATTTCCAATAAAATTGAGTTTTTGTATATAAAATGTATGTGAGCAATATAGATTTTACGATACAATGTTTGTTTTTACGATGATGAGTAAATATACTGCGATGTAACACAAAAGATACATAAATGCAATTGAAATGAGCTTCTTTGGTATTTACCATTAAATATAACATATAACTGGGTGACGTTAATTCAAGTGGTACTTTTGTGTAACAATATAAATTTTGAGTGAAA